CTCACATAATGGACACAATCTATTGGGTAGAGCGACGAACCTCAAGCACTGTCGTACTACTGACAGTGCTTGAGGTACTTGAGGTGGTGATATTCCGCGTGATTGTCAGTATTACTGACAATCATGCGGAAGATCACCGTGAGGACAAAGCCGTTGGCAAAGGTATTCACTCGACCTGGCCGAATTAATTCTTTGCCAAGTTTGCCGAGACGGCCAAACTCAACGAGGAGGTTGAACAACGTCATATGACCTTGTATGAATCGGTCAGTGATCTCCGATCGTCGTATCTACATAGAGATCCTTCTTTTCGATGGAATGCTCCGACCAGAGCTCGAGTTCCATAATTCATCGACATCGATGATAAGGCAATGAGTGTGTTATGCACAACGGCGGTGATCGATAGCCGCAAGCAAATTAGATTCCCAGTTATTGTAGGTGAGCGCTGCGCGTAACGACTGGGTGAGTTTCCAACTTTCCCTGGAATCCTAGAACGAACCGTACGACGAACACATTCCTTAATTTTCAAAACTTTCTTAATGGGGATCCGTTGACCCGAGAATCGGGTCCCGATTCGGAACTTCCGAATGATCAACGACTTCCTTCGAGCTTTTGCGGCAAGAGTCTTGCCACTACGAGTCAATACCATCGTGACTGTTCAGCACAATGCCTAACGCGTATACAATACCGTAACTAATCCCTGACTAAGATACCGTTCAGAAGAAACTTAGCCACTAGCGAATGATACACCTCAAATCACAGTAAATCACTCATCACTAATCGTTGGACCTGGGATCAGGTCTAACGTAGGCAAAGGAGTTAAGTTAATAATTTCGATTATTTCAATTGGTTCACTTACAGACGCCTAATGATTAGACCCTAATCCTAGGGTTCACGCACCCCAAGGAACAGCACTCATGCACAAATCTGTGACGCGAATCATGTAGGCTAGCCGCTAGCACAATAGACAGCATAGACCAAACAGCAAATATCGTAGCAAAAGTACAGTAAATACCATATTACAAGACACAAATGAACCATAACAGTCAAGAGATCTCCGTGCACTGCGCCGAACTGTACAGTGCTCAACAGAATACCAGTGGCTCTGATCATCACCATCATCATGGCCCATCATTGATGGCAAATTGCCATTGGTAATGGTTGTGCTCACTGCCAGTGAGTCACTGGAGCGGTAGTGGTCGTGAACATCATCATTGTGATGACAAGCCAGTAGTGGCGTTCACGGGACTGGTGGATCGGAGCTTGATGCGCATCGGCTCGTTGTGCTCATTCACTGAGGAATCCTCAGTTGATGAATAAAGAATCGTACATGTGAACGGCGATGACCCACGAGACACTTCAGGGCACTGTGCACTGCACAGTGTGCAGCGCCCCGGCAGCGTTGTTTGTTCTATGTCGCATGCCTGCCGGAGCCGACCAGTACAATATACCGATACTATCGGTCCGATAGGATATAAGAGACCAATTGAAACCGAAAAATTCTACACCTGAGAGAAGCAGAGCGACCTCAGATCGCGTCCAGAAATTGTAGCACCTCATACTCCCGACCGCAAAGCGGCCGGAGTAGTAAGCAATTAATTCACGGCGTGAATTGGCCCCTCGCTCCATTACCATCATCTATAGAAGTGAACCAACGTTGAGACTTGATATAATGATCTTGTACAAACTCCAATGACTAGTGTATGACCTCACCCTCGGAGACACTGGCTAGAAGGGGGTCTCGTTCCCGAAAGACAAGACCAGCGCAAACTAACATTATCAAACCATCACTAGGCCGCCCCCTGGTCTGCAGCCGGGTGGTCTTTTGTTAGACCACATGATAACCGGTCACAATATTAGATGGACAGGCTGAGGCATGCATAGTTTCTTGAAGGCACATTACGTCGGGGGCCCCGACTCGGGGCATACTAGATGATGAGAGATGATGAAGAAAAGCCACATATAATATATGTCATATATTAAGGGACATGATCGTATACGACCTTCTCCGTTTCCGAAGAGGCCTGCCTGCTGGACGACGTCTCCTTCTGCAAAGCCTCCCCCGTATACGTGCCAGACGAGGGCTAACAAGGGTGGGTCTTCGCGTTCGGTTGCCCGAATTTCGAGTCACCTTACGGTGGCCTCTACCACGCGACGTAGACGCATTCGGGTTCATGTGGGAGTGCTGGACACCACCGATTTGGGGGCACCAAAACAGGCATGTGCTCATGCGTGCCCCATAAAAATGAGAGTCGATAGCCAGGGCGCGCGCTGGTCGACCCATATTTCGCAACCCTAAAATCACCTGCTTGGCAATTCTTGTGCAGAAGACCAACTTGGCGGGAGCTGTCTATGTGCAGTTATTGCCAATACTGAAGTTGGCGGAATGAGAACAACACGCAGATTACTGCACATCTGTTGAATTTTGCAGAATCCACCAAATCTTAGTCCAAATCAGTTGTAGAGTAACGTATTTCATCACATTGTTGTAATCTGTTCCAACACTGGTATCACCTATAATTCCTGTCATTAGGCCTGCGAATCTGTTTGGCGTCATTTTGGCGATTT